GCACGTCGGGAGAAGACGATTTCACGTTTTGGAGGCGGGGGGGAGGAAAGTGTGCGGGGGGTCCCTCGTGCGTGCAGCCACGCTGTGAAAACCCCCCAGCTGCGTCGAGAGGACTGTTTCCAATATCATCGGCCATCCCTCTTCCTGCCTGGCGCGTCTGGCCTCTTGTCCGGTTGAAGGATCACACCGTTTTCTCCTAGGTGACTGTTTAATGTGCGGCCTGGTCGGGTATCTATCCCTCCCTTGTCGCCCGTTTCCAGACAAACAGAGGCCAGAGACGCCGTTCCTATCCATCCCATTGATGGTCCTAACCTATGTGAATCTCTCTAGCTCTTTTTTTGAACCCTGTTCCAGCCCTGGTCTTCCCCACATCCTGTGGCGAGGAGTTCCACAGGTTGGCTGTGCGCTGCGTGAAGAAAACCTTCCTTTGGTTTGTTTTAAACCTGCTGCCTGTTCATTTCATTGGGTGAGCCCTCGTTCTTGTGAGGAGTTCATAGCACTTTTGTATTTACTTTCTCCACACCAGTCATGATTTTGTAAACTTTTCTCCTATTCCCCTCCCGCTCCCCAACCGTCTCTTTTCCAGGCCAAAAAGCCCCAGTCTCTACCATCTCTCCTCAGACAGAAGCTAGTCCAGACCCATAATCGTTTTTGTTGCCCTTTTCTGAACCTTTTCCAATTCCAACCTAGTCTCTGATCTTGCAAAGATTTACACTTGTCTTTACGGTTACACACAGGCTACGTCTACACTGGCATGAATTTCCGGAAATGCTTAAAACAGAACAGTTTTCTGTTATAAGTATTTCCGGAAAAAGCGCGTCTACATTGGCAGGATGCTTTTCCGGAAAAGCCCTTTTTCCGGAAAAGCATCCATGGCCAATCTAGACACGCTTTTCCACAAAAAAGCCCTGATCGTCATTTTCGCGATCAGGGCTTTTTTGCGGAAAACACTACTGTGCTCTCTACACTGGCCCTTTTCCGGAACAGTTTTCCGGAAAAAGGACTTTTGCCCGAAGGGGAGCGCATAGTATTTCCGGAAAAGTGGCTGATTTCTTACAGTAGATCGTCAGTGCTTTTCCAGAAATTCAAGGGGCCAGTGTAGACAGCTGGCAAGTTATTCCGGAAAAGCGGCTGCTTTTCCAGAATAAGTGGCCCAGTGTAGACACAGCCACAGCGTATGGTCCATGAATTGAGACTACTCACATCCACAACGCTATTCCTGCACCTGCAGCCTTTCAGGGTTAAGGCCTCAACGTGCAAACCCCCTCCCAGTTAACTCACTCGTCGCAGGCCTTTTGGGTGCATGAAAGCACGTTGGAAAGGGCTTTGAGGCGTGCCGAGAGAAAGCCCTGTGGGATTGCAGCGCCGAGAGAAAGCTCTGTGGGATTGCAGCATAGCGTGGGCCCAACGTCGCCCGAGGGGGATTCCCCATTCCGCCCCTTTTCACGCCCGACGCCGCAGAGGTCACGCGCCGGAATTGCCAAAGCTGATTAAGAGAAGCACCATTCCTGGAAAGACCAAAAAACAAAACAAAAAAACACGGCTTGTGCCAGCGAAAATGGAGAAGAAAGCAAAGGGGATTCATCCCCCGTTGCCAGTAAGGTAAAGGGGTGGAAAGAAAGAAAGAAAGAAATTTCTTTCTTTCTTTCTTTCTGCATAAACATCTTTCTTTCTTTCTTTCTTTCTTTCTTTCTTTCTTTCTTTCTTTCTTTCTTTCTTTCTTTCTGCATAAACTTCTTTCTTTCTTTCTTTCTTTCTTTCTT